TTAGTTTGTTTCTTTGTTTAATAATCAATTTTAAATGGCCACCCATCTCACAGGAAGTGATTCTGGGTGATGTACAATAATCACATAGAAACAATTCATATTTGCATTAGTGGCAAATATCTGTAGCTCGAGTGTAGGGTGAAGGTGAAGGTTCGTTCTCCAAGCTTGTGGGTTGGTTTCTGAACGTTTCGTTATCAGGCTAGGTAACATCTTCAGCAGAGTTTGGGGGATGTCAGTGTTCTGTTTATAAGGCTTCAGGTGTGAGTGTGTCAAGTGAGGGTCTGTGGTGGATCTTGTGATGGGAAGGTTACCTCACAATTCCTGCTTGAAGTGGCAGATGGCAGTTGTCGCTAGAAGGACCTTTGCACAGCTTTGTATTGTGTGCTAATTGTGTACTTTTCTGGATCAGGAAACTCTGCTCATAGGCACTTAGGCCCCCACCACCAGCAGTTCACCTCCCAGTGATTCTGACCCAATGATCTGACCTAAGTTAACTTCCCCATCACCTGAAGCCTTATAAACAGAACACTGACATCCCCTAACCAACCCACAAGCTTGGAGAACGAACTTTCACCTTCATCTTACACCCGAGCTACAGATATTTACCACTATTGCAAATATGAATTGTTTCTATTTGATTATTGTACATCACCCAGAGTCTTGTTTGGTCCTCCTTGCATGGGTTGGTTAAAGGTCGGTGCTGTCTCTGATTGGCTGTGCAGTTGATTTGGATTCCGAAGGGTTCATAAACTTGTAGTAGGTCAAAGTATCTGTTGACAGAATTGCTTGTGGAATGCCAGGCTTCGATGAATTCACGAGCATGGCAGGTGGTAGCAGGGCCAATGATTTTTGTGTTGGTCCAATCGAACTGTTGCTGTATGGTGTCGGTGTGGGTTCCGACACATACCACCGAAACCACAACATACCACACAGCCAACCATCATGCAAAAACTAACCCTATCATACACAAAAGGCTGTCAGAAGTGACAGCCAGAATTCTCCAACCCCTTGACTCAGTGGCCTAAGTGTTACTATATTGTAACTTCCATAGAGATAGGTATAGTGAGTTTCTAACACCTATTCTTAGGTCATACCCTGAATAACCAGAAGTAAGCATTAGGAAGTGACTCAGACTAACCTCACCATGATTTTGCAAATTATAAGAAAGGAGTGAGGTAAAGTATAAGAAAGGAGTGAGGTAAACTTTCAATATTTTATTATTATACCTTTCAAAAACAAAGCTAACTTTCAATAGTCCTTGCGTTGTCTTCTTCCTGATCTGGCCTACATCAAAGGGTTTACATTTTCCCAGCATTACAGTTATCTTCACTTCAGTGAGCATACTAAATAGCAATTACATTAAGAAAAAGATTTAAATTGTAAATATGAATCTAAGTCAGCGGTTCCCAAACTTTCTCAATTCATAGTGCACCTAGCAGACTCCAAACTGTGCTATGGTGCCCCAAGACACTGCAGTGAATTTATTAATGGTTCCTTTTATTAAATAATCCTGCAGCACCCTTGTGAGTTTGCTCCTGGGGCTGCACAGCTTACAGTTTGATTTAAGTTGAGAGGGGGGAAAAGAATACAAAAAGAAATATCCACCCCAACTGTGCAGTTCTTTTTTTAAAGGAAAGGGAGTGGCTACAAATTACACCCCTAATTGTCTCTCCACAATCCTGGGAATAAAAAAATAGGAAAGTATCCACTAAACTCATTAATAGCAAAGGGGCAAAAGAAAGTGAATATATAATATATTAATGATTAATATTAACAGTTAGAATCAGAATAGAGCTGGAAGGGACCTTGGAGGTCTTCTAGTCCAGCCCCCTGCTCAAGCAGGAGATCCTATATCATTTCACACAAGTGGCTGTCCAATCTCTTCTTACAAACCTCAAGTGATGAATCACCCACAACATCTGAAGGCAAAAGCTGTCCCACTAGTTAATTGTCCTCACTGTTAATTCCAGGTTGCTTCTTTCTTTGATTGTTTCTTGTCTTGCCTTCTGGTGCTTTGGAAAATAAGTTCTTTGTGGCAGTCCCTCAAATACTGGAATACTGCTATCATGTTACCCCTGTTTCTTATTTTCTCTAAACTAGCCAAACCCAAGTCCTGCAGCCATTCTTATGTTTTAGTTTACTTGTTTAGAACTTTGCTGACAAGTTTTGGAAAGCTTTACATAGCTACAGAAATTTAGTTGTTATTAAGCAATTTTATGATAAAAGGATCTTTATATATTTTTTATTGTTGATTTTCCAGCTAATCTGATCTCAAGAAACAGTTTGACTTTCTCTATTTTGCAGGCTCTACCAATAAGGGATTTGATTAAATGTTTTATTTCTTTTCATCATAGCTCGAGTTCCTCATTTTTTAAATGAATCCTGTTATTGTAACATCTTCGTAATTGAAAATGTACCTGTTACTAAAAGTTGCAGATGATGTTCTCCTTCCTCAGAATGAAGCCATGCAATGTTTTCATGAACCGCTGAAAACAGGTTGTATATTAAAAACATGCAGCTTCAATAGTTCATAAAAATAGTGTGCAACTTCAGTAGTTTGTTGGCTCAAGGAAGGAGAATGCCATCCACCATTTTTAGAAATAGGTAACCCGATTGTAAGTACATGTTGTCTCTAAATCAGACATTCTTAACCAGAGGCTGCTTGTAGTTGCCCCTAAAATAAAAGACATTTGATGGTGAAAAGGGTGAAAATGGCAAATTATTCTTGCTTTTAAGAGATTCCAGATTTTTATCAAACTTTCTTTATAATACAATTTGTCATTTTAAATTATTTTCTTCTTTCATTTCCTTATATTATGAATAAATCTTTTGGTTAAGCCAGCTCCTTCTGTGATTGTTATTCTATTATTTGGAGATTATAGCATTCCATTATAGCATTCCCTGATCCATGATCCATTTTATTATGTGAAATACCATGTATGTATACTTCTCTTCTAGTTATTGAAGAAGGCAGAGAATTGGTAGAAATAATTTCTTTCCTAGGAAATTAGTATTATCACAGGTTGCACATTATCACAGGTTCCATCTCCAACCTACAATAGACATTTGTGTATGTGGATCTAAGGAAATCAAAACCTGTTTCAGTGGACATGCAAGCCTTATTTTACTTTACTATACATAAAAAAGAAAATATTAGTTATTTCAGGCTTCTCTGTATTTAAAAACCAGAATTGTAATGCTGTATGCATTCAAAAATATATATATAATATCAGCTATAGAGCCCTGTGATATGGGACCTCATTATTTGAAGGACCAACTGCCCCCTGTGGTTTATGCTGCCCAAAAGTAGATGCTACAGATCCCCCACCCCCAATCAAACAGTTTGTCAATGCTGCAACGAACTTGGCTGAAGCCATTTCTGCTTCGTTTTCAGTTGCCACAGTAATGGGAGGGGGGATGAGTGATTCTAAAGTTAGATTAAACAATAAATTGTCCGGTGGGAACAAAGGTCATTGCTGCCTGGGTTTTGGCAGGCTGAGTTTTCCGTTAGAAAGCCCACCAAAGTAGTTTATTGGGGAATGTGATTTATGACATAGTAATGGGGTGGGAAGTTCAATTTTGTAACATTGTAACCTTTGGGAGGGAACTCCAGTTTTGGTTTCACTTTTGACTATGCTGATACTTTGTAGCCAATAAATATGTTCTTTAAGGAAACCTCTTGCCTTGGAGTTCTGTTTTTACTGGTCTCATCTATCGGAACCATGACAGTGTCATCTTTTGGGACACTGGAAGCATTTTCTCTGTCACAGTGGCATCTTCCTTGAATGAAATTTCCCATGAGAGCCAGACGGTTCCTACTATGATAGCATTCCAGAAGACTTTGAAGAGTTGTTTGTTTCCCAGGCTTTGGGATAGGGTGGATAGAATCCCTTATTACAGGTGTTTTATGTATATTGTATATGTTTTGATCACATATGTCCAGATTGCCACTTTAGTAATTCCTGTTTGTTATTTTCATTACTGCATTTGTATTATCTTACTATATTTTGTTTGTATATTGTGAGCTGCCCAATGTTGCTTTGGAATTAGGCAAGTTGAAATCAAATCAGATAAATAGATGAGGCATTTTGCTTTCCATATTGTAAATTCCCACATCAAGTATCCAGTCCAGATCAGTGTCCCAAAAATGTTTATATATAAAATAAAGCTCAAAATTTTATAAAAACTATTGTTTGGGAATATTCTATACTGGGAGGGGGAAGAACAAACTTATCTAGATAATTTATCAGTCAAATTTTCAATAACTTACAGTTATTAATTGCCTATTTTGCTTCAGTTGGTCACAGAGAAAACAAAGGTCTCAATTTTTTCATAATAATTTTATTAAAAATTACAACTACAGCATTAAAAAGCCCTTTGTGAGATAGGCTGCTGTATAAATTAGATTAATAAATAAATAAACTGAAACTAAAATTATTTTTTGCTAAGGAATGAAGAAAAGTCATTCAGTGCTGTATAAGAGCCGAGGTGGCGCAGCAGTTAGGGTGCAGTACTGCAGGCCACCTTAGCTGACTGTGTTCAGCAGGTCAGCGGTTCAAATCTCACCGGCTCAAGGTTGACTCAGCCTTCCATCCTTCCGAGGTAGGTAAAATGAGGACCCAGATTGTTGGGGGCAATGTAAATATATATATATACATTGCTTACTGGTGTACACCGCTTAGAGAGTGCTTGCACTTAAAGCGGTATATAAGTCTCATAAATAAATAACTTGTCAATCCAAAGGTTTTTAATAGCTGAAATGCAAAAGTGATTAGTTTGGAGCACTTGTGGGCAATCTCGAGTCCTCTCTTTGTCCAGAGAGGAATGACAAACAACCTGTCTGCTTACTCGCTCTTTATTGCAGCAGTGTCGGCTCTACTTTTAGCAGAGGCATATTCATTTTGCCATTTCTTCCCCAGAAATTCACAAAGATCTACTTTTTCTAATCTTGATTATCTTTTAATCATCTAGATTGTGTATTTTGTTCCCATGTGTTACAGAATAAAGCAATCATGGAACGTGTTATCCACTTGTCTGATACAGTAGTTGGGCTTGAATCATTTATCGGCTCTGAGAGAGAAACCAATCCATTATACAAGGATTATCATGGTGAGTTCTATCCTTAGCAATACCACCATTCCACTTCCCTCCAAAAGTCTTTTTAAAGGGTTTCAAGGGCATTTATTCTCCACTTGGAATATTTGCCCTAAAGTAGCATTTGATTTCTTTTATTATTATTAACCTGTTAATCTTAATTCATTTTGCAAACTAAACATTAGACTATTTTTTACTACAGTGCATTAAGTTTGCTAAGGAAACATAGCAACTCCTTTTATATTGTCAAGTATATAAACAAGGCATGGCTCAATCAGATGTACATCTCAAGAGACAGACTTTGAGAAATTCGTATGCAGGGAAGGTTTGGCAATCATCTGACCAGTGAGCTAAAATTGTCATGAAATCAATATTTTGATCTGCTAAATTCTAAGTAGAGGAAATGCAGAAGAGTTATATATTTTACTGGGCAGGCGGATGAATGATATAGCACAAAGGGGAGTTAAATTATTTCACTTGATTTTAAGTAACGTTTTTCAATATCAGAAGTATGAACATGAATATAAACGTATCTCTGTTATAAACATTTAGCTACTCAATTGTTTTAATGGTTTATAATTGAAAGTCTATTTTTTAAAAAAAAAATATCTAGGCTATTTATAACAAATATTTGTGAACATACTTAGAACTTAATTTTAGATGATTTTTAAAAGGTAGTGAATGTTTTCATATTGTTGCTTACTGATAAAATTACTTCCAAGTAATATGGGCTGACATTTTGCTAGATGCACTTCTTTCAGATCTGAAACTGAACTTGGCAACAGATGTTATGTGCTTATATACTGCCTATGTTCAGAGGAACAGAATGTCCCCAACTAATCAGTAACTGTCATGTAGATGGCAGCTGATAATCATTCTCCCTATTTAAATTATTCCGTTGTTTATAACTTTTTATTGCCTCTAATAATTTTGAGGGAAATATCATCATTACATCATTCCACAGTTGCTGTGACATTCAGGCACTGAAATTACTTTAGCTTTATGGAAACGTCTAATCAAAAGGTTTGGAGGCAAATCTAAATCCTCAGTAAATATTGTAAGAAAGCAGAGATGTAATTATATATTACATGAGAAAATCCATTTGAATGTATAGATGACCATGGTTTACTCCAGCCTAGAGGAAGATAACCTTTTGAAATACAATCCCTTAAATAAGATACAAAATAAATAAACAACTAAAAAGACATTTTTCACTTGTACAGATCTATGGTACTTCATAATTAATATTTTGTAAATCATATAATAAAATCTATGTCTTTACATTTTTATAATTTTCTCTAAAATTGTCTTCTTTCTTAACAGTACTATTTTTCTATATATTTTCTAACAAGTTTATTTTAAACATTTGAATAATTCTGCCTCCAATTAAAAATACATTTGTATTTCTATAGTACTCTCATAAAGAGGGAACATTTAACTATTGATTTTTACTTGTTTTGCAAATATAGCTTATCCGTTTACCTTGTACAGTTTTGAACAGTAGGATAAGATGCTTATGCCTCCAGCATTTTACTGAACAAAATTTAAACACTTTTGAAAAGTTTCAGAGCCAGTTCCTGTCTTAGTGTGCCTACCTCATACACATTGAGCAAGTCTTTCAAGAATATATAGCCCTCTTCTACAAATATTTTTAATATTAATTTCTGAAATACAGTTTGTTAGTCAATTGTGTTACAATTTTCCATATAAAGTTAAGTATATTTAATAACATACTAAGTAGATTCAACAAAAAGCAAATCCTGATTTCTTCAAAAATAAAATATGGATATTGATTCATTGGTAACGGAAAACACAGATAATTCTTTAGTAAATAGGAATATTGGAAGTATATGACACTGAAGAATATAGGTGTTAATCATATCCATGCTTCTCACATACCATTGCTAAATATAGTAATTATGATCCTAAAGACAATTGTATCTTTTGCTAATGTTTTCTTTCTATGCTTTGCCTCCATTATCTCCCAATCTAAAATTTTTTAAAGCATTTTTTAAAGCTGAAATGTAATTTGTTATGAGAGTCACTGTTACCCAGAAAAGATCAGTGAGTGACCTAGCTTCCTGCTATTGGTGTTCAAATATGCAAGGTTACATTCATATTGGGACTGTTAGTTTTACTGAAGTAATTATGACCTACTTTCAATAGGCCAGTCCAGTTATAATGGTCATTCAAGTGAAAACAGTGGACTATTTTCTTGGTTTTATTTTGTCTTAAGACATAATAAATCAAGCCACCTATGTTTAAACCTATATATTAATTTTGCATTATGTTTTGCAAAAATGCAGTTTCCTTACAGTTAAGAAAAATACAAATTATTGCATTTTCAACATTATTTTGAAACTATGAAATATTTGTTCAATGATGTTCTGCCTTTTTATATTAAGGGATATTTATTAATTTCTCTCTAAAACACTCTCTAAAACACTCAAACTTAGTATAACTTTAAAGAGTTTTCATAGTCGGAAAGATTGTCTATTTTAATCTAGAACTGTTTGATAAAACATCATTTGAATTGCAAATATTTAATCTTTATTCTTTAAAAATAAGATATAATATAAGCTTTACTGTTGTCTCTCATAAAATATTTCTCATTTTCTGTTATGGAAAAAGACTAGTTATTGAAAGTCTATATTAAGCTGCCTAGAATCTGTCCAGCGTCCTTGTCAAAAGAAATCAGCTTGAGATTCAACTGACAGAATGCAGAGCTTGCAGTGTGCCTAGTATTGTTATAAAATTCCAACATACTCCACGGATGTCTTGTTTGCAGAAAATAATGTGCATTGTATTTATAATGTGGTTAAAAGTTATCCAGCAGCATGTTCTTACTATTGTGGTTTTTACACAAGTTTAAAAAAATAGTTATCATGGTACACAACAAATTACTTTCCATTGCAACTTCAATGGTTATCAGTAACCTATGAGCTTTGCTTTGCTGGCTGCTTACTGGTGCATTTAATAAAATAAAGATCACTCAGTGGTGCCGTGGGCAGCATGCAAGGTGATAGCCATATTTGCTTACTGTAAATACAAGAGAAAATCACACACAAACTGGCTGTAGTTTTGACAAGTATTAAGATCCCTCTTTATATCTGTACCTTTGTACCAAAGTGCAATTAGTTTTCCTCACACAAGGATTTCTGTTTATTTTATTCTGCTTGATTACTTTTGTATAATCGTATCGCTTGCTTCATTGCTCCTGGTCGTAAGCTCCAGTTTAAAAGGGGGACGACGAGTGTATGTAAATATACTGGATTTTTTTGATATAATACTTTAATTTAGGCATTTGGATAGCATCATTTTCTTAATATTTTCCTTTCCATAAGGTTTGATTCACATACGCCAGATTCCTCGGCTTAATAGCTTGATCTGTGATGTATCAAACACAAAGGACCTTGCTTTTAAATTGAAAAGGAAGCTGTTCGTTATTGAGGTAAGACTATATATATGGAATACTATTTGAAAGATGAGATGTATTAAATGTTTAACCATGAATGTTTAAAAAGTAGGCCACAACCTGCAGTAACTAAGTATGACATACATATTTCTAAAGATGTCAGAAGCATATTTAATTAAATGTTAATGATTTGCTCTTAGCTGTGTTGTTAAGTGGGAAAGTGCCTAGATGTTATTACTCCAGTTAGGATGTTAATGTGCAACTGCCTAAAATTGAGCATGGCATGAGGGATAAATGTCTTTCTCATTATTCAGAAACAATTTCCTTTGCATTACTGGAATCACCTTTAACTCTTCCATGTCATTTTAAATATAGGATCATTTACATTAATGTTCTTAAGTAAATTTTCTACCAAATTTAAACTCCCCCCCCCACCTTCCATGCAGACAGTCCCTCTACACAGAAAGCAATAATGCAAAAGATTATTTCATTTTAGTCTTGCTAAAGAGCAGACGACTATTAGGCAGACATCAATTAGGGTTGATGTATTTATTAACCAAGTAGATCCAGAAGCTGAAAACAAAAGTTGCTTTGGGAGTGAAGGAATCCTCACCAGTACAGTCTTTGCAGGTTTTAGACAAAGGCATAAAACAGTTAAGCAGCCCTGACAAATCATTTAGTTTAATCTCTTTCAAGTGAAAAGCTGTTAAGCAGGCCACTTGCCTTAACTGCTTGAACCCATAAAAGGAAGAATTGCCACCAATATATTAGCATATTTTTAACTTCATCACCAAATGATGGTCAATGTGGCTTGGCACTGCTTTGGTGTTTGGGATTTCACCCTTAAGTGACCACTTTGGCCCTTATTTGACCCTCTGCCCTCTTTAGCTAGCCACTTGATAAGGTAACCTAAGGATTCTCTTCCAGTGCCCCTCCTCCACATCTCTCTCACTGTCTCTTCACAATTGTGTGTTGCAATAACCTATAAATTGTTGAAAAGAGCCCATCAAGTGACAAATTAAAGTGCCCTCCTCCTAATAATGGCAACCAATGTCCTTAATCATCTAGTCCTATTGAAAGCAGTTAATAGTTAATCAAGGAGCCAGGTTTTCTACCAGGATATCTCTGCATGAGTACTTCAAGTTTCTCAACTTGAAGAAATGTTAACTTCAAAAGCTACTTGAAGGAAAATGTTTTTTGTTAAAGAATTTGTGGTTTCTCTGTGTATTTTGACTTTTTAGAAAAGAATACATCTAATGACACAAAGCACTGTATTAGTACAATCCATTTTAACATTATTTCACTTCATCAAAAAGGCTATTTTTCTTTTGAATTAGTTGAATAAAGGAGCTTAGTATTCATGCAAGATTTTAAAATTCAGAAAAGGTAAATTATTTTAATTAACACAGAAAACAGACAATATGTTCCTGCCATATTAAATTCCCATTTATTGTACTTCAAGTGAAAAAAAAATCCCTTTACAATATAGACAGATCAGTACATTAACTCTGTTAGCAAAATCTCTATACTATTTTCTGTTATTATAATTTTCAAATGAAAAACTTCACAATAAAAAATTAAAGTAGCCAAAAGGGATGAAAACTAATTTGATTTCTTTAAGGAAAAAGAACTAGAGAAGCATACATGAATTTTTTAGAATAATTTCAGCCTGCCCTGTTAAAGACTCTGTTCCTTATAAATTGCTTCCTGTCTTAAAAAAGAAAAACTATTGCTTCCTAACTCATCGGTTTCTTTGCATTTACCATCTTGCCCTACACTGCTAATCTTCTGCTTTTGTTTTTTAAATTATAGTACCATTCTGAAGAAACTAAGCAAAGGAAAATGTGTTTTCCATTGACAAAACAGTTGATCAGGTTACTATTAAAGCTAATAATGAAAACAGTAAAAATTAAAATCATTTTTAAAAATAGATAACTATGAAACAGAATGAATTATATATCTTGCAGAAGGCTTCTTAAATAAGACTTTGAAAGAGTATAGAAAGTTACATAAAACATTCTTCAAACAAATCTTGAATGTAGAATTGACAGTTTTAAAAAAAAAATGTCCAATATATTCATACTGTCATTTTGTTACACCCTTATGTATATAATCTTTAAAAACAACATTAGAGAAACACTGATAAATTCATAATTTGAAATCGGGACAATTTCATCTATATTTTTATTACAAATCTGTTTATTTTCTGTAGCTTTACAATGTGTTTCTTACAATTAACCCAGTTTTGCAAGGCGAATTCCTTCACAAAATTCTTTTCAAGGGAGCATTAGCATTGGTTATTAACAGATTTTTCTATTCTAACTAATATTTTTATGTTAAATACATGAATATTTAAATAAAAAAAATCTAACTGAAAAGTACTTTCCATATTCATCTATAGTGTATATATTTTGAGCAACAAACAGAGCTTGAAAATTAAACAGTAACAAAACAATATTTGTTTCTTATAATGTATGCAAGGCATTGAATATCTTTAGCACAATACCTGTGTATAGTGAACCATTTACCTAACATTTCATTACCTGCTCTTTCATTGCATGTTTTAAAATCTTAGAGAAACTCTTAAGTGTCTGTCTTTTCAAAAAGTCTCATAGTTTTGAAGTTACGTTGTCTAATCCCATTTCTTCCTACTTTGGAATCTTAATTAGAAGGAGATAAAGACCATCATTTGACTAAATTATTGTCTTGAATCTGTAGCAAAAGGTATAATCCGCAATTGGGCCAATTAGTGTACCCCATCGTTAGCTATGTTGAAAAAAGCAGCTAGATTGGATCTGACACCAGCCTAGTTCCCACTGTTGTTTTGCCAGGTAGGATGGTCAGACTTCAAAGAGCTTGAGGCATCAGCAGGGCAAGGTTTGAAGGCCAGCTTAGGTCCGGTTGTTAATCTCTCTGTAAAAACCACAGCAGCCATCACACAAAACAAGCTTATACAACATAATCATGCGGTATTAAAGTTTGGGTTGAGTCATGCCAATTTGCCTTTGATTTTCTGATGATTGAATAAAAGATGGCTACATGACTAGACATATTCCCAAAATTTACTGATTAGATAAGTTCCTCAAACATTTAAAATATTTTTTTTATTTTTCTGTTAAGTATATGACATGCTATTTATTCTGATGAATCTTTCTGACAGGAAAGTATATGGAACATAATTTGTGTATTGAATGCTGAGTTAATATACCTAATACTACTTGTGATGCTTTTGTGTGTAAAACCTGTTTCTCATCATTCCAAAGGAATTTATATAAAAGTTAAAAAGAAAAGCTAATGATAGTATATTGTGCTTATTATTATTTTCTATTTAAATATGGGGTTACATGCCTATCACTGATATCATTAGATAACTGTTCTTATTTTCTGCATTTTGATTTGTTAAAAATTTGCAGAAATAGTGGCATATTTCTATTCAGAGAAACCCCCGTTGCTACTGTAAAATTATTGCAAATGATTAAAATTGGTGTCATAATGTCTTTCTCTTTGCCAATTTTAGGTGCATGTACTTTTCTATTTATTTGTTCAGTCCCCCTGAAGTTTAGGTAGCATGGCATCAATACTGGTTTGCCAGGCAGGTGCCATAAACCAACATTTATCACTTCTGTGTGCTCATTATATAGAATGTGATACAGTAACTGAAGTCTACATTACTTTAGATCTCTGAGCTATTGTAATTTGATAATTTTTCAGGATAGTATGAAGGAAAGGCAAACCACAGAACTTTAAAATAGTATCTTTAAATGGCCTAAATTTTACTTGGTGCTAGTATCTACTGCTTACTATATATGTCTATATTTGGAAATCCAGTTAGTGGCATCACATCACTGATCCAATGATTTCAAAAAGCTAGGCAAAGTTTTACCTGGTTCAAACTTGGATGGAAGGTCATCAGGACTAGATTGAAAAGTTGAGAAACACCTTGAGGGAATCAGTTGCAGATAACCCACTCCAAAAAAACTCCTGTGCAGAAATGTTTATATATTAATATGGGGAGGGGAAGATAAAATAGTACAAATTATATGGTGTACTGCTACAGTTTAGAAAAGGTAGAGAGGGTACAGAGAGATGCCAAAGCAATTTGATCTTCTCACTGTGTTGCAGGTTTGTATCAGCTGAAGTAGGCCAAGTGAAGAATTTGGTGGTATCCCTAACATAGCCTTTCCCTGAAAAGTAAACTATTACTTAGGCTTGAGATTTCTTATATCAGCTATATAATTTATCTGACTTTTCTCCAGTTGATATTGCATCAGAAATCATGATGCACAACTTTTACAATTCTTCCATGTATGAGTTAATGCCATCATTTACATTCCTTTGCTCAAATTTTGACCCATCTTTATGCATAAAGATATAATCTGATTATTAATGAAGGCATTCGACCAACCCAGATTGGATCCTGCAATAATCTAATGATTTATGACTATACTTTGCAATTTGGCCCTCTTTACCAACCAGTCTTGGATTTAAGACATGTAAACACTATATATTTATGGATTTCCTTACTCAGTTTTAAGTTAGTGACAGATTTTCTGTTGTCTTTATCTCTTAAGGAAAAATTTACCTTTTATGGAGAAATGGATTTTTCTTCTCCATCTTTAAAAATATTTTGTGGACTGTTAATATCCATGGTATAATTTTTTCACTCTCCTTCACTTCTTCATTTAGTAATAGAAATTTTGTCATAAGTCGAGGATTAGCTGTGTTCTATTTCTTTCTTGCAAAAGTTGAAAAATATCAAATATAAATTCCTAGATTAAAATAATTATTTTTTTCAACCATTTGCATATATTGAAGATTCATGAAAAAAGGTCCCTGCAATGTATGCATGAAATAAAACACAGAGAGTAGGACCTTGAACAAGAAAAATCCCACCTTTCCCAAGAAGGAGCATCTTTCTTTTTGCTAAAGGAAGGAGATCTTCTTTTCCTGTTCCTTCCATAGAGAAAGATGCTTAGGAGATGTCATAGAATGATTGTTCCCTGCATTCTTCTTCCCCAAAGGAGACAGAATTACTG